GCTACAGTGTTTTGCCGACATGCTATGTCTGTGACAGTTTTACCTGAAAACCACCATGGTCCTACGGGAGTCGTGGCGGTTCCCGAATATTTTTTGCGTCAATTTTGCGTGAAAAAAATCTCCGTCATAGCAATGCTATATCTGCGATGGACCGCCACGGGCATGCTATGTCCGCGACGGTTTTTAATCCACGCCGTCCAAAAAAATCAGACCGCGCCGAGCCTATGGGTGAAAATACTGTTCATTTTTCGCCAATAGGCGTTTTGTAGTCTCTTCCATATATATATATATACACACACACACACTAAAAGTTCTCAGGTTTGGGAGATTTTTGTTTCAAATCTATTATTCCCCCAAAATTTTCACGAGCTCAGATCACCTATATCTGAAGTCCCAAATTTGGTTTGGAGGTTTTCATTTGGGGGAATTTGTGAGGAAACTTTGACAAAGGCTGGTAACTTCAATTCAAACTAAGGATTAAATTTGGAGGATCAGCCCAATTTTTGGGTAAATTCCAAATTTTCAATTTAATTAGTTGGCTTATTGGAGTATTGGCCCGTTCAAGCTAAATTCATTTCATCTTCCATGTCTGGTATTATTGGATACTTCTTATATTTTTATGATATTTTATTTTTCTGATTTTTCTGAATTATTAATATTTCCCAAATTTCGAGGAATTGCAGCATTTTTGGTTGACTTGGGAAGAACTTGGGTGAGTCGACTCTGACTCGCTTGTGTTGGTCGGACCAGTATCGGGCAAATTTCTGTCCCCGACCCAATTTTAGAGCATTGGGCTTGTCCAATGGCTTAATGCTATAATCCAATGTTGTCAGATTCGCTTCGGAGTCTTCTTTGGTTTAGTGAGAAAAATGAAGCAATTCGGTGCTTCGGCCGATTCGGGGGAACATTTCGGATTTTTTTAATTTAATATAAATTAGATATTTATATATAAAATATATAAATAATGCTAAAAATTAAAAATTAAAAATAAAAAAATTTTAAAAACATACATTTATATAGCTATTTCTTTGCTGGCCGAAGCAGACCCGAAGTATACCCGAAGCAAACCCAAAGCGGTCCGAATTTGACCGAAGCAGCCCGAAGCGATCTGAATCACCGAAGCGACAACACCTGGGTTTCGCTTCTCTTCGATTTATACCTAAAATCCGAAGGCTTTGGTGTCTTTGGCTGAAATGAAGCGAATTTGATAACATTGCTGTAATTATAATTATTGATAGAAAAATCACAAAAATATTGGGTGCAGGCAGCCAGGTCTATAGGAAACCCTTTAAGATTGAGGGCAAAATAAATCTAAGTAAAGGAGATTGAAGAGAAACAAGGGAGTAGCTTGTATTTATGCTACCTGAGAAACCTTAGATGGCATTTGAGGTGAGATTGGAGGTTGAAGTATGGCAGGGTATAGGCTGGATTTTTTGATGTTAAGAGGCATGCATGGATTTCCAAGGCCGATTAACTTGTTAATCTATTGGCACCACCAAAATATATTTGTTCGAGAAGAGGTAGAAACTTGATACGATGGTTTAGAGTTTGAAACTCGTATATTGTGTGTTAATTAATCTATGAGTATAAAACTAGAACGCTTTCTGCAATGGCCAGATTTTCATCCTCTTAAACTAGATTTTGGGGGAACGAAGCCCATGTTGGACCTGTTTACCTTGGTTAGCTCTTGAAAGTAAAATTCTTTTCATTGACCATTAGTAATCAAAGGTCTGTCTTTGCCTGACATGTTTCATTCATGGTGGTTATAGCAAATGTGGACCATTTCTTGGTCAAATTTAGCTGCACTAAGATTAATGGCCTGGTAAAGGAAATTTGGACCATTTCTTGGTCAAATTTAGCTACACTTCAGAAGTGTTTTCTGGATACATACGTTCTTGTTGTAATGTAAGTTTTGGGCTGCACGCGTAAACAAGATTAGGACTGTTGGTGGTTGTCATTCTAGGCCACCATCTGGAGGATTTGGGAAGGGAAGAATAATTGTGATACAAGTATAACTTGATCAAAATAATTCTCTGACCCCAGCTATGCCCAAGTTGCAAGGGGTATTGTAAAGTGTCGGCCAACATTGATATCAGAAAAATAATGTGGAATCAAAGTCTTGAACCTTGTGTAAACAGCATAACAGTATATCTATTCAAATGATTGTTTTTACAGAAACTATGTTGGGCTTCTTAAGATGTGAAGGCATACTTGTTGTCAAGGAATTGAGTTTTGATGATGACTTTCAGATCTCCATTTGATAATCGGTTTGCATAGAACTCGCTTATGGGCTCGGCTGAAACTGAATGAATGAGGCTAGCCGTTAGGCTGATCTATTTCCTTATTCACTAGGGATCAAATGTACTGCACTGAGCCAAATGAGTGGCATGTGATCATTGGTTTCCTATGGGCCATGCTGTTTGGGCGTTGAGCTCCCTTTTTGTTTCTGTAATTTGAACCTTTTATTGCCTAGGTTAAGTTTTTTCTCCTCGTCTTACTATTTCTGGAGGCCATCTTCTACTGGGTTAAAGAGAGGTATACCATTTTCGTAGGTTTAGCGATCCTTCTCTTTGGGGGATGATACGATGGACGCTCTTCTGATTTATACAGTTGTCTTGGGTATTTTTGTACTCTTTTGGGGTTTCATTTTGTTCATTATTTTGAGAGAGATTGGGCTTGGATTTCAGAATCAGGTTTACTTTTCTTGAAAACTTTCGTCTCATAACGGTTTGAGGTCAACGAGCATCGTAGCCGGAATTACCAGCCATTATATCATTGGTGTCTCTCACTTGGTAGAATCTCTCCTTCTTTTCGAGGATTGCTACTAAAATTCTACTCATTGATTGCAGGGCTTTAACATCTGTCTCTGCAGGAGAATGTGGTGATTACCCCTTCTTTTATTTGCAGTTGAATTTGTGTTGTATATGGAAGGCCACACCAGTTGAAGCAAGTTGTAAAGTCCAGTTGAAGCAAGTTGTTAGTGATTAGACATGGAGTTTGATCTATGTATCACACTATTTGACTCTGGAGGGCATATTGAGCTTAAGGTTTCATGAAGCCGGAGTCATGTGCACCCTTTGAGTGATGCTATGCCCATTTTTTACTCAATAATGTGTACCCCTTCAGTTGGTAATGTTCACCCGTTTTAATATATGTTGCTGAGTCCCCATTTGATAATGTTTAGACCAATATTTAGCCTCTAGTGAGTTGGACTGAAGATAAATATTTGAAGAATGCCAATAAGATCATAGTGAAATGACTAGCAAGGAAAAGATCTTAGGCTATGGTTGAAGAAAAATGTCTATAATAGGCAGTGATAGGAAAGAAACATGTTTGTGTATTTTGTTCAATTACTTTGAGCTGGTTAAGATTTGGCGGTGCCTGCCTTCTCTACAAGCTTTTAGACGGTCTCCATTTGTCATTTCCCTCACAAGGCTCACTGTCTAAACTTGGTCAACAGTCAATCTAGGCGGAGATATCCAACTTTAGCTTTGCAAGATGCATGACATTGGAACTTGGAATTAGTTCAAATCTTGTATGACTTCATGAGTGGCTTTTATATGGCTTCTATTTATTCTGCTTTTGTGTCGCATGCTCACATCCTTTCTGCTTTGCCTTCTTAAGTTTCCTTTCATGTTGTCCTATTCATTATCCTCTGCTGTCACACAAAATGCATTCTACTTTCCACATATACCATATTAAATGCTATTTGGAAATCCAAACAAAGATTTTAATTAAATTCTCGTGTGGGTTGATTACCTCAGGTCAAAGCTTGTCTGGTGTGGCTGGAAGCCCTGCTTATGTAGCTCCAGAAGTTCTCTTTGGCAGCTACTCAGAAAAAGTGGATATTTGGGGTGCAGGAGTCCTCCTCCATGCTCTGTTAGTTGGATCTCTTCCCTTTCAAGGCAAATCAGTCGATGATATTTTTGAAGCTGTAAAAAAGGTGGAACTCAATTTTCATGTAGGCAAATGGGATTCAGTGTCAGTGCCTGCTCGTGATTTGCTTGGAAAGATGCTGACAAGGGATGTTGAGACTAGGATAACTGCTGATGAAGTGCTAAGTGAGTAAAACGTTTTCTAAGATTGATTTGCAAGCTTCAATTTTGGCTTGGTTTGTGCACGTGTGCAACAAACACCAATACATGCGATATATATATATAGATATATTTATTTTTATTTTATTTTTTAATTCTTTTGAGGGAAGTTGTCAAAGAGGAAAGAGATGCAACAGTGGGACGAGGAATTCCTACAGTTCAGTGGGAAATTTGGGGGGGGGGAGTGGGGGACCTGAGTTCCCTTCCAAGTAGTCATGTCCCGGTTTTCCAGAACCTGCACATTTATAGTTCAAATCTAATTTCTCCTTGGCTCTCTCATCTGTTGTGTGTACCAGATGGAATGTTTCTTTTCTCTTTCTTGTAGCTATATTGATGGTTCCTGATGGATTTTCTGCAGAGCACCCATGGATTCTGTTCTATACAGAGCGCACACTTAGACCAATCTCCGTTCGGTCAAAAACTAAAAACCCAGAACGACCTATGCCCCGTACCCCTGTTCTCTCTCCAAAAGAGCTATCAGAGAGAGACAGAGAATCAAGCAATTCTCTCGATGATTCTAAGCCGCCATGTTTGGATAATTTCCTGAATGATGACTCTGAAGAAGAGGAAGGAGAGTGCATTATTGTCGATGCTTTAGCTGCTGCCATTTCTCACATTCGAATATCAGAACCAAAGAGAAGCCGGGTTTGCAGTCCAATAGAGCAAGAATGCTCTTCTAACATGAAAGCTACTAACCTCTGTACAGCTTTTTGAAAGGTTGGTTGCTGACTCAATAACCAAGAGAGATGATATATGACTTGGTGGAAGGCTCACATGACAAAGGTTAACCGGTGATGACCATTCACAATCTCTGCTAATATGTGAAGTGGACTAATCAGGAGGATGCAATTTCTGACTCATTCCTTTTAAATGGGGGCTGAAGATGTTGCATTCTTTCTTTCAACTGTTCGGCTCTTCTTTAACCTAACAAGAGTTGGGTTTTACTTTTTGTAAATCTGAATGTATAGGCTGTTGCTTGTGTTTGTTTGGTCTTCCTAATATTATCAATTGCTTTTATGCTTTGAGGGCCTGTTGCGAATGGAAAAGCTTCTTAGCCCACGTTGCTTCTCTCTCTCTCTCTCTCGCTCATCTTATACCCTGCCATTTGTCTGCCACTTTATAGACTAACAATCTTTCCCTTATAGGGCAACTGCAGACAATAAGTCAAGGTGCATCTCAAAACCTTGCAAGAAAATGCATCTCTTTCATAGGAAGCTTCTATGGTGGCCGGAAAATGTATTTTGACCTTTTGAACATGAAATTTGAAACTCTAAAAATAGTGCAAGCGGATATGTGGAATGTCACTCCTTTATCTATTGAATTCTTTAGGGGATTACAGAAGCATTTTTAGATACGTATGCCAAAAAACATGTCAGAGTAGGGTGCCTATGCAGACATCTTGCGCAATCTTCTCTAGGCACAATTTTTCCTCTCGTAGAAAATATGGTATAAGACCCTCAGTAATCCCAATAAAAGTTCCGGCCAGGTTGAGGACATCAAAGATCAAGAAAATAAGGAAGACGAGGACTCATCTGCCACTGGCAAACAAGAGCACCAAAATCAAGAGGCAGATGAGGAACCTCCCTCTGAAGAACTCATGTTCCAAGTTAAGCAGTTCAAAACAAGAGCAACAAAATCAAGAGGCAGATGAGGAACCTCCCTCTGAAGAACTCATGTTCCAATTTAAGCAGTTCAAAACAAAATTTGATGGTAGCCCACGGCTGGTCAAAGAAACTTTGGATATCAACTTGGTAATTGAGGCTGACAAAAGCCAAGATTCGATGGTAGCCCACGGCTGTACAAAGAAACTTTGGATGTCAACTTGGTAATTGAGGTCGACAAAAGCCACATCTAGAGTTCTAGAACCTGTATATGTGGGACCTATCATTCACCCACAAATTTGTATCAGATTATGGATTAACGATCTGGATCGGATTTGGACAAGCAGACCAAAGATAAAAAATAAAAATAAAAATAGGAGTTTATGTTGTTGAGATTGAAATGAACTTAACAAACATTAGAAAAGCTTGAAAGAAGAGGAAAAAATGCCAGAACCAATTCGGCTCAGATTGATTTCCATTTGGATCAACAATCCGGATCGATAATGACCGGCTTTTAAACACTTCAAAATTGGGTAAAGCTGTCTCTCAACCCCGCCAGAAAAAGGGGTTCTCGAGTTGGAAACCATTCGAATGGCATGTAAATCCATTTCCACGTGTGTTCATAATTCAAAGTCTTAAAATCGTGCAGATTTGGTGGACATGTGAAGATTTGAAATGAACAGTGGAGAAAACATATTCTATTCTTTTAGGTACATGATGATTGCGGTGGCCATAGGCAAATTGAAGATTTTCGAAGGTCAAAATTATATTTTCCTTCAAGATTTGAAGTGTGACTTCAAAAAGTGGTTCCATGAAAGACTTTCCTTATTTAAATGGAAAAGTATTTTATAAAGTCAATGTTGTATATATTGACACCTCAAAACTCGCCATTCTAAATCAGATCTTGCACTAGAAACCCATCCACCGTGTGATAAAAAAGAAAGGAAAACAGGCATGAATCTTTAAGCACATGAATCCTAAGCCCTAACAATGTTTTTACAACAGTTTTTATGAAGATCTAGGTCATCATAGATCCGCTATATCTGTATTATTTTTAGAGCTTTAAATTCTACACTGAGATGCAGAAATGGATTATTATGCCATTACAAGGTTAGTTGACAACAGATGTGGGTTTCCCAGTGAGGTTTCGTGGTGTGACCAGATTTTGAAGTAGGCTCAATGATAGGTTTGTTAGAATTTAAGAACCCTCTTAGATGCGGAAACAAAAATCTCAAAAGTTGGATCCTGTTAAGATCATGTACTTATCCAGCTAGAAAGATAATTGACGAGTGTACGAGCCATAATACGATAAATAAAATATGAAATACACACGTCATAAGAACGCAAAGATTTACGTGGTTCACCCTAAGAGGCAAATTGAAATCTACTATAGCAATGAAAGTTACATTGTTGATTTTGGAATAGAGAGTTACCTCTCTAACTTTCGACAAAAGACAAATTGAAATCTACTATAGCAATGAAAGTTATATTACAGATTTTGGAACAAAGAGTTATCTCTCTAACTTTCGACAAAACCCAGTCAAATAAACCCTTTTAGACCCGTTCTCTTGATCGGCACGACCTGCCGATCTCTCATCTCTATTCCACTGATAAACCACTGTCTAAAAAGAAACCATCTCCATTCTATAGTTAAACCACTGTCCTGGAGGAGAACTTTAAAAGCAACCGAGATGTTCTCTCTCTAAAAGGGAAAACTACCTAAAAGATTTATGGGAACCACTTCTCTATAAGAAACCAGTCTCTTAATCTATAGGAGCCATATCGGGGTGTTTCTCTCCGTAAGAAGCTCTCCTCTCTCTGAAGGAGAGGCCTTGCCTCTCGTGCATAGGAGGTCCCTGCCTCTCCCTCTCTCTAGAGGAAGTCACCTTTTCTATATGGTGACTCAAATAGGGTACACAAATTCTTTTCACTTTCCTTATAGATATATATATATATATATATATATATATATATATATATATATATATAAGTAGTAGTAGTACTATAAAATAACTAACTAACGTAACGTTA